GAGGGGGGCCCAGAGGGAGGGGGGGCAGGAAGTAGACCTGGCCTGTTCTACCGGACCGAGGGCACAAATACCGAACTGTCTGGTAGAAAACTGGACACCTGGCAACACTATTTTCTGCAGAACAGAGTAATGAAATGATGGTGTCTGGCAGGAATGAAGCATCTCCACACCAGTCTCATGGGCAGGAGATGGCTGAAGGCAGATGATGGGAATATGGTGTGGAGAGCAGGAAGCCTAAAACAAGTCAAGACCTATAGAAAAGATGATGCAACTGGCAGTTTCAGAGGGAGTGAGGTAACTGACTGCTCTGTATGAGCTGAAGCAGGATGGGTAATTTATCCCACCCGCTCCATTGAAGGAAACAAAAGTTAATCTAGTCTGGAAACTGTCTGGGACAGTTGCAACCTGACACAAACCTGACCGATCCAATAATAAGTATATGGTCTAGCCAAATTCAGGCAGGCTTTAAAAATTATGTCCAAGCAGATGCCTAAACTTAATATTCATTTGCATAAACAATCACCCACTGATTACAGCCTGGGGGAGGGGGGAGAGAGAGAGAGAGAAGTTTTACAATCAAGGTACCCTGCAAACTGCATGCCTGCATAGCAGTTTTCTGAGCTCTGCTCAGAAATTCAAAGCTCCCGCATAGACAGAGAGCACAGCTAATTGGTGGGGGAAGGGCCTCTCATTGAGCAAGCAGCTAAAGGGAGCTAGCTGCCTGCTTGAACTGAGGAGCTCCCAGAGCCAATAAAAAGGGAGAGAAGATGACAATTAGTGGCTGGGGAGTGAGTGAATAGGTAATTAATTGGCTGATGAGGAGTCAGAAGGAAGGAGAGTTTAGAGTGTCCCTCTGCAGGAGGAGAGAGGGGCAGAAACTCAGCACTCTATCTCCCTCTTCCCAGGAGGCTTGAAAGGGCTAATTGCATGGGGTAGGTGGGGGAAAAGAGAGGGTGGGTGGGTGCTAACATCTGTGCAGTAAGGTAGAGGCACAGGACAGTTTGTTTGGGCTGTCTGACTAGCTGCAGTCCTCTATCTGACTGGGTTGAGGGAGAGAGCAGGCTGCAAAGGAAGTGTATGAGACAGGACATTTGCATGCTTATATTTCAAACAAAGTTTGCATAAGGTGTTAATGGCTTAAGATAAAAGATTCTTTTAACAAAATATTTTTGGAGTGTTGCAGATATCTAAAATGTTGAGCTTAATGATTTTTAAAAAATCTTTTGTTACTAATTAATACACGTATTGCATTAATACTAGATCTTTGCTATTTGGTGGAGTACTTATGAGACAGCATTAGCAAGTACTAGGTTGAGCTGTTAGAAAGGTTGATACATGCACTCCAAGGATAGTGTTAATTTTATTTGATTTCATATTAAATATCATAAGCACTGCTCCTTGTTAAATATCCCTTGTTTTAATATATCTTCTTCCACACATATGGACTGCTTAAAATTGTGTGTTTTGTTTGTATTGGTGGTGCACATCTATACATACACTACTTAATATTGGTGGTACACAAGTAATTTCAACCCTCCCACAGACAGACAATGTTAAAGGGAACACTGTTTACAACTCTGAAAGACACATTCACTCAGTCAAACACCACACTCAAAATAGCACCATTTGTGGGGTAAGGAAGAAGGAAATTAGAGAGCAGGAGAGAACTATCAGACTCCAAAATGCAACAAAATACTTCCTATTTGAACACTACTCTTTGAAACGTTTTTCTTCTTAGAGGTGGGAAGTAACAACTATGGCAACAAAAAATGAAACAGAACAGTAATGACATTTGCAGTTATCAGATATTTCGCATGTGAAACAATCAACTGAATATTGCCTTAATTTTTATTGTTAAGGAACACTTATTAATAAAACTATAAAGATGAGTTACTCGCCTTGTGGTAACTGGACTTTCTTGAGATGCATTGCCCCATACATAGTGCATGTCAGATTGCAAACATGCTCCATGAGCCTCAGACTGGAGATTTTACCCAAGCAGTATCCATTTGGTACATGCATAAACCCTTGCTCTTCTCACTGAGGGGATAAAGGTGGCTGCTAGACCACTGTCATCTTTTCCTTCTCTGCTATTCAAAAATGGGGAAATGAGGGAATGGAGAAAGAGATTGGGTAATACACTACACATAGGGATTATACATCTTGAAGAACTCAAGTTACTGCAAGGTGAGTAACTGACATTCTTTGAGTGATTATCCCTATGCATAAAATACTCCAGATGATTCACAAGCAGTGTCTCTTTCAATGATGAGGGTGCTTGGAGTGCTATGACGACAGACTGCAGTACTGGATGTCCAAAGAAGCATCACAGGCAGCTACTTGCATCAGTGCACAGTGTATCAGACGTGCACATGGAATTCCAAGTTGCTGCTCTGCAGATATCTGTAATAAAATATCTGTAAGGGAAGCTACCAATGCTTTCTGAATGCTAGTCAAATGCCTTATGCTGCCTTCAAGGGGGAAACTGTTCATTAGTAGCACAGTAAGATGTATCCCAAAATCTATTTTAACAGCTTCTGGGAGGAAATGACTCTTCTTTTATTCATTCAATCATGATATAAAGACCCCAAGAGACTTTCAAAAGGATTAGTCCTTTACAAATAAAAAAGGCAAGAGTCTAGTGAGTGACACTAGGTCTAATGCCTAGGGTAGAACACCACAAAGTCAACACTTTGGTTAATGTCTATTTATTCCCACAGAATGTGTCTTCAGGATGATGGTGTGATGCAGTTTCACTGTTACCTTATCTTTGTGGAAAGCTGTATAGGGAAGGTCTTCCACGAGCATCCTTACAGCCCCAATTTTTCTGGCAGACATGATGATGACCAAAAATGCTATCTTCATAGAAAGATGTAGTAGAGAGCAGGATGCTAGAGGTTCAAATAAGTGATTTAATCAGGGTTGATAAAATAAGGTTCAAATCACTAGAGCCTTGTGCAGATACAATGTGGATATCTGTGGATATAAATCAGTACCCACTAAACTGCAGGACTCTCTCTGGAAACTCAGCAGTGAAAGGAGCAGAACGCAGGCTGCCACTCTCAGGAGCCAGTGCCCCATGCCAGCAGCTCCTTCTGTGCGGCTCTATCACCTCAGCCCTGCTCCTTCCATGCAGCTGTCTTGAGTCTCCTGTCTAAGGGCATGCTAGTGAACCTGATGCCTACATGAGTGGGTGGGGCTGGGGAAATGCAGCTGCCGCAGAGGAGCAGCCAGGGTGGAGTGCTGGATCCTAATCAGTGTGGGCTGCAGATTCTGCTCCTTTCGCCATTGCAGTTCCTAAGAGCCCTACAGTTCTGCAGATACAAATTTATATCCATTGATAGCTGTAACTACAGGTATCTATGTGTCCATGCAGGGCTTTACATATCATAGCTGGTATAGGGTTAGTAACCGAAAGAAAGGTTTTAATCATACCTTTAAAAAAAAATGAAGTGACCGAGTGAGAAAAAACAGATCTACAAGAAAACTGTTGATGGCTGCCAGATGTATTCTGTGAGAAATAATAGTTCTAAGGACAGGAGACAGTTGAATATGTCCAGAATCTGTAACCATAAAAAGGAGATTCCTTCTTTGGTCATACCAAACTTAAATCTTCTCCAACATTGTTTTATAACACTTCCTGCAAGACTCCTTACTACTACTGCTCAGGATGGCCTGAACATAAGCAAAACAAAATATTTCTAACTCCAGCATATACTCAAATACCATGCCCCTGTGGCTGGATTGGAACAATAAGTCCTTTCCTGGTCTTGAGTTAAGAGGTCGAGATGGGACTGGATTGACAGCTGAAAAAGCACAGTGTACGAGAATTTACAGGCCCAACCCAATTCTGAGAATCACTAGCCCTTTATCCTGTCTAATTTTCCTCAATGCTCCTGGCAACAAGAGAACTGGAGGGGAAGTATACCTCAGAGCTCTCACACCTACAATATGTGGAAAGCTTCATCTGGAGAGGCTGGACTGCAACCCCTTCTGGAACAAAACTCATACTTGCTCACATAGGGTACAAAGATCTCTGGAAGACTCCCTTGCTGAAATATCTCCCAGAGGGACAGGTCAGGCAGCTCCCAATCTCATTCTGGAGAGAAATGTTTGCTTTAAGAGTAGTCCATAGTGTTCTGGATGTCAGGCAGAGTAATCCACATGAGAATGCACCAGTCGCAGTGCAGTGAGAAACATGCTCCTCTCTGCTTGTTGATACAATAGACCAGGGGTGGCCTACCCATTACAGGCAAAGAGTCAAAATAGTGCTGGATATAGCGCAAAGAGCCAAGAGAAAAAAGTTGGGGGGGGGGGAGGGAAGGGGAAGAAGGAAGCTGCCCCTTTAAAAAAAACCACATCAGGCTCCATTTTGCTTCACCCAGTGAACACAGGGAACCGGGGGCTGTTTCTAGGCATGCAGAAGCGGCTTTGCGAGCCGCATGTGGCCACCCCTGCAATAGACTGCCATTATGTTGTTCAACACCACCTGGATTGCACTTGCCAAACGTGTGGGAGGAACTGCTTGCAGGTAGTCTGACTTTTCTCAGTTTCAACACAATGTGAAAAACTCCTGAGACACTTCCCTTAAGCAACCTGTCCTTCCGCAAGGTCTCCTCAAACTAAGAGAATCCATGAACAAAATCTTAGTTGGAAGTTGAATTGCACCCATAACCAGATACCATGTTCTAGAGAGATGACTTTTAGCACCCACCCATCCACGTAGGCAGACAGCAAGTAGGCAAATCAGCCTGCAAGGGAAGGGAAAATACTGAAAGGATTTACCAGGTATGGTGAGAGAGAGTGGATGCACGTCTTAAAAGCCCCGTCTAAGTGCTGGTTGGAATATAAAGGAAGATTGTCCTTGAGTACTCTTCTGACTGTCCTTTGATGCTTTCATGGCAGCTCCAACTACTGCTGGCAATAAAAAGCTGGTGTGACTGGCTGTTTAAACTGCAGATTACTGGTTTTTCCTTTAACTGCAGATGTGTAGATAACATTGTAGCTTGGACATCCTTCAATGAATGAAAAACACTCAACCATCTACACACTAAACAGCCAATCACACTTAGGAAAATACTCTACCCATTTGTACCTCCTTCAGGATGACAAGCATCTTATTGCTATAGTACTTTCCTTGCCCCTGCTGCATCTTAGGTTGTCTGAAGGGCTAATCTTGACATCTGCTTTCACATGTCAATCAGGGCTTGGAACAGGTCTAACAGCCTGAGACTTCTTATCAGTGAAGATCACTAATTTGTCATATCTGGCAAAGTTGCAGTTGGCCCTCAACCTTTGACAGTTGGAAATGCAAAAATTTAGTGATGCCAAGGAATATATGTTTCTTCAGGGAGGTCAAAACTCTTTGCCCCTTTCCCATTCAGTGTAGAACTGGTTTCTCTGTCTGCTACACTCAATGGCTACTGAACACTAATGAGCTGGGAGGTGAGCAATGGAATAGGCACTCCAACCTTTTCACAGTTATGAAATATCACTTTTCACCCCTGCATGCTTGTGGAATGATACTAGGTGCCTGACAAAAGTAGCTTGGTGGATTCAAGGATGGTCTCCTTAAGCAGAATGACACTATTAGACCAACACAGGATTTCCACGAGTCTGGATGGGGGTTCCTGGACCTCTTTCAGTGGGGTTTCTAGTGATTCTAGCACCCTCTTACATAGCTCCTGGAGTTAAACAGTTGTATAACTTGAGCAAGCTGAAGATGCTCTTCCTCCTCCCTGGACTTTCCCATCCCCAATATTGTTATTACAGGATATCTATACCCTGGGTTCTAGGCCATTGTGATGGGTACTAGGAGAAGGAGGGAGGGTATTCTCTCACATGCGAGTGGCGAGATACTCTGGAGACTCTTCCCTTGGGCTCAAATCCATCAAGAAACCCCTTTGGCTATACAGCCCAGGGATGGGTGTCTGCCATAATTCTCTTCTTACACCAAAGATCTGGAGCTTGGATCCAGTTGGTAAAACCTTAGTGCTGAAAGAAATAGTGATAAACCTGCCTTCACTCCATGGTACCAGCAACAGCCTATTCCTTACTTAAGGACAGGGACAGAAAGAGGTATGACAGAGTTCAGTACTAGCTGAAGTCTCAGTACTGGGCTCTAAGATTGGAAAGCAATGATTAATCCAGTTCTGGTAGAACAAAGATGTCACCTGAAGTCAAGAAACAAGTTGTAGGCAAACAAAGTTGTTTCCCTAAATCAAACTCATTAACGGGGCACCAGGTCCCATAGTGTTTACAAAATGTATCATGCCAAGTACCAATCCCAGCACTGGAAGTACAGCTGTCTTGCCCTTCAAAGAAGCCTCAATTTAGTTCTTCCAAATACCGAACAGTTCCACTCCAGAGTATGAAGTCCCGATTATTCAGTACAGGATGGGAATTTCTGACTCCTCTTAGAGGGTTTGAATCTGGAACCTTCCTTCTTGTCCTTATGGAAACTCTTGTCTTCCCCTTTGCCCTTCTATCTTGGCTTTACTCTCTCAAGTCTCTTGGAGTTGAAGGTAATGGAACAATCTGGGATCTAAAAGTGATGCCATTCCTACCTTCTTCAGGACAATGTATAGGTGTTGTTCCTGCCTCCTCCATGAGGCACCTTAGAGATGGAACTCCCGTTGATTGTTTGGCCCTACTCAGGAATGTCCTGCAGACATTGCACCTGAAAGGGATGCGAATTTCCTCCAGGCAGTAGAAAAGTGTGGTAGTCTAAGCAGCATAGATTTGGGATACTTGAAGCAGCTTTTGAAGCTGGGGATCTTTGGCTACTCTTCCACAACTATAGCTTGGAAGAGCAGTGATTGTGATATGAGGTGATCTGGGTCTGGCTCCCCATTTATTTTATCAGGACAAATTGCAGCTAGATTTAGGTTAATTAGATATTAGGGAGAAAAACCCTAACAAGTAATGGTAGTTAAGCACTGGAACAAATTACCCAGGACAGGTGTATTCAAACTTGGGTTCTGGACCCATCAGAGAAAGCCCCTGGAAGGCTGCGACATTTTATTTACTCTAAAGCTCCACAGCCACGAAGCCTCACAGATCCCATTGGCTGCGGATTGTCATTTTCCAGCCAAAGAGATGCCACAACGCACAGCTCAACACAGCCAATGGGAATTGCGAGGCTCTGTGGTTACGAAGCCTTAGATTAAAAAAAGTGTCATGGGCCTGCCAGGGGCTTTCCCTGGTGGATCTGCAACCAAAGTTTGAAAACAAAACACCAGACCTAGGTAGACTGTGGAATCTCCATCATTGAAGATTTTTAACAACAGGTTAGACAAGCAGCTATTAGAGATGGTTGAGATAATTCTTAGTCCTGCCTCAATGCAGGGGATTGGACTATATAACCTACTGAGAAATCCCTTCCAGTTGTACATTACTGTCATTTTATGTACAGGCAGTTTTGCAAACAGTTAGGCTCTTACTTGGTGTACATGACCAGTGTAAACCATTAGGCATGTGAGCTTTACGCATCCCTAACAGAGAAGCAAACTTTTTCAAAAGTAACATTTTCATTTGATTTTCCTCAAAGGGGTGCTGGATGCCATGCACTCTGTTGGGATAACCTCCAAGTGTTTGAGTGATTGGTACAATAGTCTGAGCCCTGGTTTGATCATTATTTGTAGAAAAACATTGTTAATTTGTAGAATGTGCCAGTTTTTAAAACCACTTTTTTTCCTTGGTGAGCTCTCTCTCTGAACCTATTTGTCAGATGACCCAAATTTGAGTAATTGACTGTACCCTGTAGCTCTCAGAGGCCTATCAAAATTCAAGGCAATCTCATTAATTATGGATTTCAGAATACTTAGAATAAATAGGCTTTAAACAGAAAGCTGATCTGTACCTTAACTATAGTATATAGGAAAGATGTCACTGCTATAACATGAGAGCAAATGTTTTTAAACTATTTATGTAGAGAAGCTGAAGCTCTAACCATGGCCATCAATGGAAGAAAGTAGTAAGACAACGACAGTCCAGCAGCTCCCTTTATCTTCTTTAGTGAGGGGCAGGAGAGTAAGGGCACACATGATGACTAGGAAAACCCTGCTAGGGAAAAATCTTCAGACCTGATACACATGCATACCCTGAAGTGCAGTACACAAGGACAATCACTTGAAAAAGGGAACATTTTCAGACTTGTTCTTACCACTTACATCTAATTACAACAGACATACATATTTAAAAACAGTTGGCAAAAGAGAGTTAACTAAACATTTTAATAGAGGGGTCAAGGCACAGTTCTAGTGCAACCAGTTTTTCCTCAAATCCTATTTCAAAGGACAAAACAGAAGAAATATCTTACTTTGAGTAACTAACCTGTCACATATGGTTCCAGAGCTTTAGGAACCAAACTCCTTGCAATTTTTAGGTCCTCTGCTGAACAGCTTCCAGATTCTAGCCCACAAGCCATTCCCATTCGCTTTAGTACTTCTATATCATCATGAATTTCAAAAGTATTGTCAAAATTAAATAAATATTCAAACCTGGAGGCGAGAAATTCAAGCAGCTTGAATTACTTGCACTAATTTTTCCAAAACATTTCCAAGAGAAAGTGTGGTACTTCAAGAAAATGAAAACATGACCATTACAATATACATAGCTTTAATATTTTGTTCTAGCGAACAAATTCTAATTTCTCAAAATCCATATCTTTGTTAACTATATTAGACAAATAAAAATGCTGCACGTCACAAAGCCATTTACAGGCTTACTTGGAAGGAGACTTAGCTAGTCACCCATAAGAAAATAAGAATGACCATACTGGGTCAGATAATCCATCTAGCTCAATAGCCTGTCCTCCAAAAGTAGCCAAAGCCAGATGTTTCAAAGAGAATAATCAGAACAGACATTCAAGTGATCCATACCCTACCATCCACTCCCAGCATCTCAGAGTGAGAGGCTTAGGAATATCCAGATCATGGAGTTGCACCTCCTGATCATCTTGGTTCATAGCCATTGATGGACTTATCCATTAATTTATACATTTTTTTAGGAATCCAGTTATAGTTTTGACCGCCAAAACATCTTGATAATGAGTTCCACAGGTTGACTGTTTAATATATGAAGTAGTTCATCCTTTTGTTTTAAACTTCATCATGCCTATTGATTTGAGTGACCCTGGTTCTTGTGTTATGTGAAAGGGTAAATAAAATACCACTATTCACTTTTGATTTTATGGACCACTATCATCTCTCTCCTTTACAGCTGCAGTCTTTTTCATCTTTTCATACGGATGGTGTTCCAGACTCTTATAATTTTTTGTTGCACTCCTCTACCCCTTTTTGGTGTCTAATAGATCTTATTTGAGATGAGGCAACCATATCTGCACACAGTAGTCAAGATACAGGCATAACACAGATTTATACAGGGGCATTGTTTACTGTTTTATTTTCTCTCTTTCTGAATGTTTTCCAATATTCATTACTTTGTACTTTTCAACACAAAATTTCATCTGTCCCTTTGTTATCCAGTCACCTTTTTGTGATATCCCTTTTGCAACTCCTTGCTATCTGCTTTGGACGCAGCTATGTTGACTAATTTTGAATCATCTGCAAACTGACACCTCAATGCTTACCTTTTTTCCAAATCATTGATGAATATGAAGAACAGCATTAGTCCCAGTACAGATCCTTGAGAGATTCTATTATTTGCTCTTTGCACTGTGAAAACTAACCATTTATTTCTACCCTTTTTCTTTTGCCTTAACCAGTTACTGATACACAAGATGACAATCGCTCTTATCATATGACTGCTTAGTTTCCTTGAGAGCCTTTGATAAGGGACCTTGTCATAGGCTTCTGAAACCCTGACGTATAGCCTTTCCCCGAGTTACGACCACCTCTAATTACGACCATCTGCGCCTACAACCAAAACGGTTATAAATGCGGATCTGAGTTACAAATGGCAATCCGCGCTTACGAAAAGCGCGGTCACCATGTAACTCTATAGGATCCAAGTTATGAACACTTTGAGTTATGGACTAAACGTTGGTCCGTAACTTGTTTGTAATTCGGGGAGCGGCTGTACACTATACCCACTGGATCACCCTTGTTTGTTAATCCCCCTCAAAAAATGCTGACCTGCCTGTGAGGCATGGTTTCTTGTTACAAAAGCTGTGTTGACTCTTCCCCAAAATTGCATTTGCCCGTGTGCCTGATAATTCTGTTCTTGATCACAGTTTCAAACAAACAATCTGCCCAACAGGTTAGGGTTATCTGCCTGCAGTTGCCAGGATCACATCTGGAGCCTTTCTTTTTTTAATTTAAGAAAACCAAACCCAACTGGCATCACATTAGCTATCCTCAAGTTATCTGCTACAGAAACTGATTTTAATGATAGGTTACATACCACTATTAGTGGTTCTGCAATTTAATATTTGAGTTGCTTTAGAACTCTTGGTTGAATACCATCTGGTATTGGTCACATATTATTCTTTAATTCAGGGGTGAGGAACCTTTTTTCAGTCAGAGGCCCAGTGAGACTCAGAAATATCAGTTGAGGGTCACACACAAAACCCCCTCACTGAGGTGGCGCCCAACTGAAAAGGAGAAAGTCATTCTCCACATTGCTGTTGCACACAAGAGCCCGGGGGGAGCCCAGCCTAGAATATTGTCTGTTCCAGCACCGTGGTAGGGCAGCCGAGAGACTAGAGCACCAACAGAGGCTCCCCAATTAGAGGGGGCCCTCAGCCTTACAGGCAGGATCCAGGCAAGCAGGCCTGAGGTTTCCCACCCCTGCCTTAATATATCAATTTGTTCCAAAACTTCCTCTACTGACACCTCAATCTGGGACAGTTCCTTAGATTTGTCACCTAAAAAGAATGGCTCAGGTGTGAGAATCATCCTCACATCCTCTGCAGTGAAGATTCAAAGAAATCACTTCGATTCTCTGAAATGGCATTATTTTCTGTGAGTGCTCTTTTGATACCTTGTTTGTCTAGTGGTCCCACTGTTTAGCAGACTTACTGCTTCTGATGTACTTAAAAAAATGCATGAACAACTTACTTGTCATTTGAAATACTGCAATCAATCACTGTTTTCTTGCTGGTGTTTACAATGATAAATGGCAGATGTATGACAGAATTGGAAGGTGGTGGTCGATTTGCCTGTTGTTCTGTCTGACGATTTCGTTGAACTAGGTTCTTGAAGGCAATTTGCTGCAAAAAGTAATAGTGGCTTACAAAACTAGCTATTAAAGAATTATTCCTTTATTATTCTCTTATTAAAATGAACATATTTGATGTGTCTCTGAAGAAACAAAAGCAGAACTAGGCATCTGTGGACTTGACACTCACCTTTTCCTAAGCTTGTAAATTACTGAAATCTGACATTTGGAATTAACCAATTAAAAATATATTGAAACTAAAGCAGCAGATATTTATCATGTAAATATTCCTCCTTTCTTTAATATTATACAGACATGGAACAAGTCAAGGATATCATAAAACAACATCAGGGTTCGCTAAAAAATTTTAATCAGAAAACTGGATTTTCAACTCAAACTAAAATTTTCCCACAGAAAGTTTCAAGTTTCCATGGAAAATAGGCACATTTTTCCAGCCACCCAATACTAGCAAGCAGTCACATGAGCATTTGTGGCAATAGTTTCCTTTCTTGCTTAAAGTTATGTCTACACTACAAACCAGAACCATTGCTGAACATATCTACTAGCAATAGTTGCAACTGTAAGTGTACACAATGAAAAAATGTTCAATATGCCCTTAGATTTTAATTTAGAAAGGTGTCACAATTATGTACTAAAAAGTGTGCATCTCTGAAGGTTTGGGGAAAACTGGACTTTTCAAAAACTACTTTTAATAAACTAAGAGAAGCAGTGGTAACATTTCTCTAAGAAAAAAGTTAGCTTGAACTGGCAGTTCCTGACACACCAGACTCCACCCTCTCTCCTCCTTCCAACAACAACTTGAACTGCATCCTACAATAGTAAATAGAAGTAGTTACAGCATTTGTGAAGTAATGATGGTTCTTAAAGATGCATGTCTCTACGCATTAGGCCCACACGTGATATCTCTCCTTGTGCTGTGCTATGGAGCTAGTCTGGGCACTGTTGCATAAAAAAGCCTCTGCCTGTGCTCACTAGATTTATGTACATGGATTTTCTGAAGCTACACCAAACTGTAAGGTCTAAGGTTTTAAACTGTAACTCATTGTGATCTTTGTCAAACTTTGTAATCTGTGTAACTCTCAAAGTTACTGTAAGCTTCAACTTTGTAATCTTTTTAACTCTCAGCCACCTTGCTTGTAACTTTCTCTAAGCTGCATTCTCCCGTGTGAATGGAGAGAGAGTATGAGTGTGTTTGAAGACAACTTAGAACAATGGACCACATGGCAATGAGTCGTCATCGTCTGGGCATGCTCCTTGCTGGATAAAGGAAAGTCTTGGCATGCTCCCTGATGACAAGGTGAATGAGTCACAGGGGCCATTCAGACATAATATAAGAAGGAGCACACGTGAGAGACTCTTTTTCCTTCTACTGATCCTGAGACGCTCCTCTCCAGTGTCTCACTCTCCTGACCAGCTTCCCCAGCCATGATGAGCAGACAGACCCTCCAGGATCCACATGCCTTGGCTCCTTCTGCAACTTATATGTCTGTGTAAGTGTGTGACTGCCTGAGGGCAGGAATGAATGGGTGTGAATGAGTGAGTGAATGGATGGATGTGTGTTTGCGTGCGTGTGTGTGTGTGTGTGTGTGTGTGTGTGTGTGTGTGAGAGAAAGAGTTCTATCTTCTTTAGCTTAAACCTTTGGTGCCTACTTTCTCCTCTTTAGTTTTACCTAGTGGAAATAAACCCATACTAGTGTAATCCAGTGAGAATATTTTAAGGTAACAGGCACATGGACTAAGGAACTGAAGAGACTCATCAATTACTCTGCAGTAAATAAGAACTCTGAAGTGGGTTGTGGGACATCCATAGAAACACAAGTTCCAAAAACTCTGTTATTGCACAAGGTAATTTTTTCTTTGAGTAGTGTCCCTATGGGTGTTCCAGCATAGGGGACTCCTGCACTGTATCACTTCTGGAGTTCTGGGACTTCAAAAGTGGGGTCAGTTACAGATAACAGAACTATGGAGCCAAAGACTGCATAGTTGGTGGAATCAGATTACATAATGTTCCATGAAAGTGTGGATTGACACCCATGTCGCTGTTCTACACATCACTGAGATAGGAACATTCTTGAATAAGGTGATGAATGAGATTAATGTTATGGACCGTGTAGGAAAGAGGAGGTTACAATGTGAATTTGGCAACAGTGTCTGATGTACTTTGAGATAGGTCTTTCTACAATGATGAGAAAAAGGTCTTTCTACAATGATGAGAAAAAAGTTGGGGGACTTCTTGAAAACCTTAGTCTTGTCCAGGCAGATGGCTAGGTCTCTCTTGAAATCTTGAGCCTGTGTGTAATATAGCCTCTGTGTTTTCTTGGTGAAGCTTGTGGTTGAAAAATGAATCAGCTTGTTCATGTGAAACAGGGAGGTAACTTGAGAAACGAATTTTGGACATAGCACATTTCTTCCTCCTCTCCCCCCCTCCCCCCCAATCCCACCCCACCTCACACAGTCACAGTTCTTTCAGGACAGTGTTATGCTTAAGCTATCAGAACCACTATTTTTCCTAGTTGAGGTAATAGGTATCAGGAAGGCCATTTTCTTTGAAAGGTGAACAGGTGGCCATGAGTTCAAAGGAAGGCATAGCCAGTGTTTTCAGTACCATATCCAGGTCCCATATTGGAGAAGAAAGAGGCGGTTACTCATCTTGAACATCATTTCCTGTTGAGGTGAGTGTCCCCATGGGTGCTTCACATTAGATCAGTCAGAGATTTTAGAGCAGTGTGCCTGGGGCCATGTATGCGTGTGTCCGCAGCCACACACGCCTAGGTGGCAGGCATCGTGCATGTGCAAACCCACCTCCACTCCCCCCCAGTTCCTTCCCTACCCCGGAAAAATGCCAGTGAGGAGGCCAGAATTCTGAAGTAGAGGGGAGGAAAGGGAGGGATGTGGAGCACCCACCAAGACATTAATCTTAAAGAACGTCAGTTACTGTCAAGGTGAGTAACAACTTCTTCTTTGGAAGCTTCAGAGGGTAGCTGAGTCAGTCTGTACAGGATAAACAAAAAAAAAAAGCCACAAGTGGTCTGGTAGCACTTTATAGACTAAACAAAACATGCAGATGGCATCATGAGCTTTCGTGCTCACAAAAGCTCATGATACCCTCTACACCAGTGTGCCGCAAGGCAGTCAGAGATGTGCCACGGAGAACAGAATTCAAAATGGCTGCTCTTAAAGGGGCAGGCGACATTTTTTTCCTCAATAACTTTCCCCCAATCCTCCCCCCCCACCAATAACTTTCTCCTAACCTTTTTATTTTTGCTCAACCCAAAATCCTTGGTATGCCTCAAAAAAAAATTGTTTGGTGTTCCTCAGTCTTAAAAAGTTTAAGAAACAGGGATCTGTATGTTTTGTTAGTCTATGAAGTGCTACCAGACCATTTGTTGTTTTTTTAAGCTTCTTCTTCTACTAGAGAGAAAGAGGTCCCTGTGGGTGCTCCACATTAGGTGACTACAAAGCTATTCTTAGTCCCAGCCATCCCTATAAACATCTCCTGTGAAAGTGAGCATTGCTAGCAACAAAACTGCACACCGCCACGTGTCCCAGTAGCTGAAGGTATTTATGTGCTGTTGTTTGGGGGCTGGATTTTAAGGTATTTAGCAAGGCTACGATTTTTTGGAAACAGTCCGTTGGGAGGAATGCGGTGGCTCTTGTTGAATCGAGGCATACTGCTATAAATTGAATCTTTTGTGTGGGAGAAAGTGTTCATTTGGCTTTATTTGCAGGCCAGGTGTTACAAAAAGGGTCTTGTGATTGACAGCGAGCGGCAGGAATCGTTGTGTGAGCATGCTTTGAGGAGACAGTCATCCAGTAAGGGAATCTGACAACTGTTTGCTGCCTCAGAAATGCTGGGATGACCACCAGAACCTTTGGAAAGATGCTCGGAGCTACAGAGAGTCCAAAGGGCAGTACTATGTATTGATAGTGTTTTGAATCTACAACAAATCCGAGAAAACATCTATGAGCTGGATGGATGGAGTCATGAAAATATGCATATCTTGCAAGATGAGGGACGAGAGAACCAATCTTGTTCCAACATCGACATAATAGTGGAAGCATTACCATCTTAAATTTCTGTTTCAGAAACTAATTTGTTGAGTGTTCACAGGTCCAAGATGGGTCTCCAGCCTCCCATCCATTTTTCCAATCAGGAAGTAATGACTGTAAAAGCTTTTCCCCCCTAAATTGTGCAAGGACCGATTCAATTGCTCTTCTGGGCAAAAGGTGTTCTACCTTTTGTTGAAGCAGATTCTCATGAGGGGTCCCTGAAGAGGGACTGGGATGGGGGAAAATGGGAAAAGGATAGAAAACGAAGGGAATAAGACAGCCTTTTTCAATGATCTTTGATGTCAACCATGGAACATCCAGACTACCGTGCTGAGCCGACAAACAGCTGATCGGCTCAGCGCGGCAGCCATGTAAATTTAAATGAAGCGGCGATTATTTAAATCACCGCTTCATTTTCCTATGCCTGGTAGTCTAATCTACGTGCCTCTGTCGCCAGAGGCATGTAGTCTAGACATACCCTATGTTATGTATATTGCTGAGCTGGCATTGATAGTGCCGTAATAGGAAACATTGTTGCTATTTGAAGTGTTGGATTATGCCTTGGTGCCGAGAGGACTAGAGATGTGCTAGGCACCTCTGTGGTGGAAGTGTTGGTGCTGGGTGATATGGCGGACACTTCACTTCTATGCTGCATCGGCAAGATCATTTCAGTGCAGGATGATTTCACAGATCATGAGGCAGGCAACTTAAAAGCTAACTCCTTAGAGCAGAGGTTTGAGCGTCCCATTTTTCCAGCTGTGCTAGTGGCTCCTGAGACATCTGGAGCACCATAAGTGCTTAGGTGAGGTGCTGCCGCTGCTCTCATCACTGGCTGTGCAGGAGTCTGCCGCTTCAGTGCCAGCATCTCCTGAGGCAAGGATGAGGCTTGCTTTTTGTCTCTGCACTGTTTCTGCTCCTTGGGCTGATGATCTGGGCCTGAGGCAGATCTAAGTGATTTTTCAAGTAAAATTAACTTGAGATGCAGGTCTGTCCTGTCGCCCCTGTGATTTCAGTTTTGCGCAATGCAGGCATTTTTGAGAAACATGCACCTCTCCAAGGCAGCAGAGACATTTTGTATGTCTGTCCAAGATGGCGACAGGATCTTCGCAGGTAGAGCAGTGCTTAAATCCCAGTGAACTAGGCATGGCACTGAACAACTACCTACCTACACGAATGGATAAACTAGGAGAGAACCTATTGTAAGTAAACTACCAACAACTGATTAACTAGAGAGAAAAAAAGAACAGTATGTAAAAACGCAAACGATATAGAGTGTGCTGCTAATCTCTGTCTCCGTCCGGAGGCGGTAGAGAAGGAACTGGGGGGGAGGGGCCTTGCACATGCACAATGCCTGGCCCCAGGGACACTGCTCTAAGACCGCCAATTGATGGTGCAGCGGCGTATGGACCTAATGTGGAGCACCCATGGGGACATCTCTCGAAGTCAAGAGGTTTTCAAGAGGTTTACTATATCACTAAATAGCCTTTTAGTAATCCGGTGTGACAGCACTGAGGATCCCTCCACTATCTGGTGGAAAGCTGATATACCCACTAAATTGAGTCAGACCTTAGAGATTATCCCAATTTTTTAGAGCTTGTTTAAGACACGTGGACGAGTCAATGACATAACAGATTTGTTGAGAAGTACACCAAATCCAAAACCTGGACATTTCTGCAAGAAGATACACTGCGTTGAGGACTATGTAAAAATACCTCTTGCACCTCCCTCTATCGAGAGCTTTCTAGATGTCTGAACCAAGGAGTTGTCACGCTTCAAAGTGGAGAACCTGCATGATGGGATGCAAGGTAGATACTCTGTACCTCCTTTTCCAGGTCAGAATGACTGGGAGATCAGCAGGCACATTGTGAGCTATTACAGGTGAGGACATCAAGTATATCCTGGCCAAGTTGGAATGATCAAAATTACATTTGCTTCAATTTTTGGTGAAAAGGAAGTGCCTGTTCAAAGTGAGGACAAGAGCCATGCCCAAGCAGTGTTGTCCTATCACTGCTCTGGAGAAGTGGCATGAGTATTTCTTGTTCAGGGAAATGAGGATAAACAGTTGGTGATTGGTGTCCCCCAAATGCCTAATAGATCATCAAGTATTACTGGGTTTAACTCCCACTCATGGATGTGTAGCAATCTGCAACTGAGACTGAGCTTTGTGCCCAAGAGATAGGCCATGCCCAAGCAGTGTTGTCCTATCACTGCTCTGGAGAAGTGGCATGAGTATTTCTTGTTCAGGGAAATGAGGATAAACAGTTGGTGATTGGTGTCCCCCAAATGCCTAATAGATCATCAAGTATTACTGGGTTTAACTCCCACTCATGGATGTGTAGCAATCTGCAACTGAGACTGAGCTTTGTGCCCAAGAGATAGGCTGCTGTTGGGGGGGGGGGGGGTTTCATCATTGGCCCGCTAAAGACAGGGTTGAGGGTTTTTGTGCCCAAGAGATAGGCGGCTGTTGGGGGGGGGGGAGGTTTCATCATTGGCCTGCTAAAGCCAGGGTTGAGAGTTCAATCCTTGAGGGGGACATTTCGGGATCTGGGGCAAATCTGTCAGGGATGGTACTTGGTCCTGCTGTGAGGGCAGGGGACTGGACTCGATGACCTCTTGTAGCCAGACAGGAACCCCCCTGTAACATCCATTTTTGCTTGCCTGGAGCATACAGGGCACACAGAGCAGTAAAAGCCTTGAACAGAAGGCCCAGATATGCAGGCTGCTGCTGTGACCCTGAATGGCTGTAAACAGAGATACGCCAATTGTTGACTAAGAGGCTGCCGAGGAGTGCCCTTGACTGAAACCCATATTGATACAAACACACAGCCGTCTGCGGGGGGAGGAATCTCTCACCCAGTAAAAAAAAAGTCCAGTACTTACAATTTAGTTAATTAAGTCAATTTAGTAAATTAAATTGAAACTTGCTTGTAAGAACTGGCGTCACAAAGACAGACCAGTACAATTCGGCATCTTAGATAAGACAGAGGATACGGGCCCTTATGGGTATAAAGATGGGTCCAGCAGCACGCTTACTTTGAGTGTCAATCTACCATCTATCTGCTGGTCAGGTTAGTGTTTGACCTCCCGAGGTTCCACGGGGACGCCCACCTCTTTCCTAGGAATTGAGGGACTGGCCCTGGCTTGACTCGCTGGAGTAGAGAGGCACAGAAGGGGATACAAATTGTACCTGGATGTGGTCCTTTGTCTTAAGTGTACACATAGATTTAGAGCTCTTTAAAGATTAAGTTGTCACTTGGTACCATTATTTCTATTTTCTATCTTTATTTTCTTGGTAACCATTTTTAAGATCTATATTTGCTAGCAGTTAAGAAATAGAGCAATAGCCATTGTAACCATATGCTTTATACACCTTTTTAATAAACCTGTAACTGTTTAAGCTTTAATCTGACTCCTTCAGTTGCTGTAACAGAACCAAGCACAATTTTAAAAGAACTTCAGCCGGTCATAAGGGACAGGTATAGGAAGAGCTTGGGCGTTTGGATCGTGTCGCTTCCAGAGGACAGATCCGTTGGGACATCTCTCAGCCTTCCCTAGACTGCCCGCTGCGCAGGAATACTGTATCCTAGCAGTTGAAGTCTGAGATGTAATAAGTTCTCCCTATAAACTCTGGGGCGTCTGCTCAGCCTTCCCTAGACTGCCCGCTGCGCAGGAATACTGTATCCTAGCAGTTGAAGCCCTGCTCTCTCTCAAGCTCCTCTCCAGTTCTATGAGACAGGTATATCTCCATACTCTCAAATGCATCAGTTCCAGTCTTGTCACTTCCATACAAAAAGAGGATGACCTAATTCTTGTGTGACCCTTTGACCAATGACAGGAAATGGGGCACTACTGAGCTTGAAGACATTGATGAAGGGATATCTCCTTTTGGGGAAAGGTCATTTAGATGTACACCCTCCCCTATACACCATGCGTCAGTGCTGAGAAGAAATAATGGATGATGTTGCAAGAATCCCTCTGTAAACATTGCAAAACACCAACCTAAGGGGGGCAGTGATAGAAGTCTAACCAACCTGGCCTTGTTTGGTCTGTAAAACGTGCTGAACCACATTTTAAAGCAGTGGTCTCCAACCTTTTTAAGCAAAAGATTACTTTTTAAATTTAAGTGCAATTCAGGATCTACCTCAAACCCAATAACCCTTGTCCCATCTCCTTTGTGCCCCTTCTGTGAGGTCCTGCCCCTGCTCACTCCATCCTCCCTTCCTCCCCAATCCTCCCTTCCTTTTACTAGGCAGGGGCACAGGCTCTGGTCTTGGGCTAAGGGATTTGGAGTGTGAGAGGGGCTCTGAGCTGAGCCTGGGGCAAGGAGTTGGGGTGTAGGAAGGGGTATGGAGGGGGGGTTTGGGGCGGGGGGGGGGGGGTTCGGAGCTGGCTCCAGCTGGACACTGCTTACCTCAGGTGGCTGCTGGGTGGTGGAGCAGTGGGGCTAAGGCAGGCTCAGCCATGCATCACTCCCAAAAAGCAGCCAGCAAACTCCTTCCATCCCAAGCCTTGTTGTGCCCTCACCCCATTCTGTGGAGATGGAATACAGAGTGGGAGGAGAGGCACCCTGACATCAGTGCCACCCTCCTCTCTTCCTTTCTCTGCACAGTGAACAAGAGGCTCCCAGTGGGACAGGGGGAGGCAGCTCCAAGGCAAAGGACAGGAGATGAGCAGCAATGGAGGGAGGAGCAGCTGAAGTGCTGCCCTTGATAGCCTCTTGGCCAAACCAGTCAGGATCATCTGTCAGAGGCTCCAATCTACTGGTCCCAATCTACTGGTTGGTGACCACTGTCTTAAAGAACTGCACATGAAGCCTAGCATATGGTATTACCACTGTGCTCACTGTCATATGCCCTGAGATGGAAGATGCATCTGGCTGATATTTGTAGGCTACTTTGTATGGTCTGAGAGCAACCAAGGAGAAAAATCGGTTTATGTAGAATTCTGGCTGGAGTCAGCTGAAGCCAGCCTCTACGAATTCCAGGCACAATATCAGAATTAGGGTTGATTTCTGGCATTGATATATTGGTCCAATTCTGTAAACAGTGTATTGTAGCTTTGGTGACTTGGTCAGTCTCTAGGAAAGATGCATCTCCAAGGACACAACCACCCACATAAGGCTAAATCATGATCCCTTGGGAGCCAAAGCGTATGGCTACTAGTTAGAGAACCTTGGAAAATACTTGTGGAGCCAATGATAGTCCAAATGAGAGCACTGTGTACTGGTACTGGTCATGTCCTAGAGATAATTTGAGAAATTGTCTGTGAGATGGTAGGTTTCATATATAGAAGTAGGTGCCCTAAAACATTAGGGTTGAAAAACAGTCTTCCTTTTCCAACATTCATATGGTTGTTGTTAGCATGACCATCTTGAATTTCTGTGCTTGACAAACTTGTTGAGAGCTCTGAAATATAGTACAGGATCTCCAGCCTGCCTTCCTCTTGCGCATTAGGAAATATTGAGCGTAGAACCCTTTTCCACTTAGATGGTGAGGTACCAAGTCTATGGCTCTTGCCATAGTAAAGTTGTGAGAAGGATTCCTGAAGAAGGATGGGGAAGAATGTGTTGTGGAAAGCAGTATAAAATAAAATGGATATACAAATCTGTGGACAGCCATAAAATTAAAAAAACCCAGATCTGACTTTAATGTCAAAAAACAAGGAATAAAGGTACAGGTTATAACCGTGGTTTCCAACACTAGCCAGTAAACACACGTGGCTATTTGGCTGCACTATAGTGGCTAGTGTTTCAGAACTGGTTGGACAGGGTTATATGATCATTAACAAAATCTTAGTTTAAATTCATTTAAAGCTGCCACAGAATTTAACAAAGAACACTGGACTTGTCAACTACTCTTTCTTAAAATGCATTAAAAAAAACTGGTATACAAATACAAGTTACCTTGCCCTACAGACAAGAGTACCTTGACTGTACCTGTAGAATAAGTTCTTGTAGCTGAGACTGTTTTTGCTTTATTCTTTCAAGTCTTCTCTGTCGTTCCACCTTAAGAAAAAGGGATTTTATTTTAACAGTACTTTATATCCAAACAGATTTTAAGATGAAAATGTTTGGCATTAAAAATACCTAAAAATATCATCCACTGAATTTTAATTTATAACATAATTGTATACTGCTTTTAGTAGATCTCAAAAAACTAAAATTTGTATATCAATTTGAAAACCAGAGAGTTAACATTATATAAAATCATACACAAAAAAGACAGTACAGTAAAACTCCAATTGTCCAGCATCCAGTGGTCCGGCACTCCTGATAGTCCGGCACTAACTGGAACCAGAAAGTGCCCCGGGCTCCCCCAAGCCCGCCGCTCGTCAGTTTCAGCAGTGGCTGACTTGGGGAAGCTGGGGGGAGAGCAGCTGGGATGCTGCCTGATTGGTCCCACAGCACCACCCTCTCCCAGGCTGCACAGTTCCCCGCCGACTCCCCCTCCCCCCGACCCCTCATAGCCCTCCTTCCGGTACTCTGGCATATCTGATAATCCGGCACCCTCTGGGTCCTAAAGGTGCCGGATTATCGGAAATTTACTGTATCTACTATATATTTGAGGGTGTGAGTGAGTCTGTTCAAGAACTCCTTGTAAACAGTAAGAATTAGGCCCATCAAATTTTGTATACTGCTTCATCTTATCGTAATTTAAAGCAAGGTAAGAGCTTGGTTATGCAGCAGGGGGTGTGGGAGGAGGGGCAGTTGCAATTATTTTGGTAATTTATTTCAAAATACCTGTCAACAATTATGTCTAACAGTACACACACAAAAAATCCTCAAGAAGAAGAGAGAGTTAAAGAAACTCCCACATCAATCCAGTCCCTATTTCTCCATGATACGGAGTCCATGGCTTGTTTGGACTTTTCTCCAAGCTACACCTCCTTCCTTCAGGACATGCTGAGAACTGCAACTGCTGGGAAGCCTCTTGCTCCCTCCCCCTTTCCTGGCAGTGTCTTCTATTTGCAAACTGGGTTCTGCCAGGTCCAGCAGCCCCTAGTGACAGCCAGCAGTCCATTTCTGACCATGGGAGATAGAAATTCTGCATCCACAGTGTTAATTTCTGCACAAATTCTGCACTGTGCAGTGGCACAGAATTTCTCCACATGAATACCTATATTTTTTTAAAATCCTTAACATATCAAGGATGCAGACACTCAGTGATTCTGTATTACAAGCTCACAAGACCATATTCAGGTGGATTAGAACACCTGTAACGTTTATCCAAACCAAAAATATCAACTACTAAGTTTGCCACATGTATACCTCTAAATTTTGACATTCCTGAGCCGAGTTAGTAGGTAGACCAATCCATTTGATTTCCTTCTTCTCCTTAGAGATAATGTTCATAGCCATCAGGACATTTAAGGCATCGTAGACACGTCGTCTAATATTCTTCTGGTCATAAGCCTGCTGCAGACATAATGCATTAATCAAAAACATACCTGTGACAAAAATGTTTGAAAACATATTATAGTAGGTGTGTAAACTTGGTATGTCAACTGTTTCATTTAGCATTAGGAAATACAAGGTCATATCTTTTCCCCCCACTACAGATGTAGTATATAACCTAACAACATACTTACTGATTCATTTGGTGAAATGTGATTATCAGTGGTACTGAACTCTGCAACCAACTCATCTGCCACCTCATTATATGAGGTGGTTCCTTTTCTCTGTACCTTCTCACAAACCTTCATAGAGAAGTGTCGCAAACCCTTCCCATTCTTCTCTCCTTTTTTGTTACGCTTCCTAGAAAATATGTTTTAAAGTAACTTATCAATAAAAAGTTTTCTGGTTTGCCAGTTAAACACACATTGTTCTGAAATACAACCCATACAATTTTTAAACCAGAAAAGAGGGCATATACTCCTAAAATGGGACAATAAAAAGTTATTTCCATGAATCATGGATTTGATTAAATTTATAACTAATTATAGGTAGGTCTGTCAAACAATTAAAAAATTTAATCGCGATTAATTGTGCGCACCTCCCCTTTGAAAAACCGTGGTGGTGTTTCAAAGGGGCAGCACTATATGGAGCCCAGGATCAGCTGGAGTCCCCAGCTGACCCCCCGGGCTCCATGCAGCACCGTCCCTTGAAAACGCCGTAGCAGCATTTCCAAGGGGCAATGCAAGCGGAGCCAAGGATCAGCTGGATTCCCCAACTAATCCCCGGCTCCGCTGTTGCAAAGCCCCTTTGGAGTGCCAGCACTCCGCTCCAACGCTTCACATGGGGGCTTTGCAACAGCAGAGCCGGGGATTAGCTGGAGTGCCCAGCTGATTCCCAGCTCCTAATGCACTGCCCCTTTAAAGCGCCAAAACGGCTCTTCAAAGGGGTTATTGCAGTGCCTGCAATTAACGCGTTAAAAGATTAACAAGTGAATCCTCTCCTGCGTTAATCACAGGTGTTAACGCAGGTCAATTGACAGCCCTAATTATTGGTATTAATTTGACTATAAAACCCATTCAACTAAATTAATCCCTGCTGTAACTACTAGTTTCAATACCAGGAATGAATTTGTAACATTACATTTAGAAGACATCAAATTAGAGGTAAAAAGTTGCTTGTGAAAGGGGAGAGTAAAGAAAAAGCATTCCAATTATACATTAACATCTTCAAGCTGAGGAAGGGGGAAGAAAGGGCTAAAAACTGGAAACTGAACAAAAGTGGTTGCAAACTATACAGGAAGTAAAAATATATGTTTCTAGATCATATATAATTTGACAGGCAGGAAAGTTAAAACAGTCAAGTATGTCAGACTCAAAATCTGATATAGTATTCAACATCAAAGAATAACCAAAATAGTGATTTGAATGGTCATGCAGTATAGCTTTACTATAAAAGCTTAAAGCCTAGGGTAGAGTTTCCAACAGGACTTGCAGTATTATTGGATAACATTTAGAAGACTATGATTGTTAAGTTCTCAGCATATATTTCCAATGAAGAATTGGGTAACTATAAAACAAATATTTTGTAACAATATGAAAATCAACAAATGCAACAGCTTTCAATTTCTGCGTATACGGGTGCTTGCATGCTTTAGGAACACCACAACTGCATGATCCCCTAAAATAAATATTGTCTTAAAAAAAAAAGACAATAAAATGTTAAGTTTGAAGCACTGATGTTCATCAGTGGGTCTTTCAAAACACTGTGTGCAATACACTCCCAAAACACATTTACATGTTAAATCTGAAATTAAAGTTTTCTTGAAGTTGAGCTACGATCTTATTTTTATAGTTTAAAATTGTCTATAGAATTATGCTGGATTAGTTAGAAATAATATATTGCATATTTTATCTGTCAGTACAAAAGGATGGAAAACCTATGTTGATTTTAATTTGTTCTTTTAAGAGCCACTATCTTATTGTAAACATTTCATTAAAATACTATGCGCTAATTTGTTGCCTCAGAAATCTGACTTGTGTTACACTGAAGTGAAAAGATGTTCTTTATCTCTCTACTCTCGGTATGAATAAAAAATTTAGAGATCTCCAATTAAATCTCAGCTGTATTCCTCCTTCATATCAGTGTACCTATAGAGCACATTAATCCAAGAAAGAGAACTTTAGGACAAAATTTCCAAACAATTCTATTAATCCCTTGTAACTTAACAGAATTTTGCTCACCCAGCAGACCAAGGCGAAGAGTCTGCAGTCTGGTTCTGTGATACAAAGTGTGAATGGGGTGTATGTGGACTTCCTACCAGGATAGTATTTGGCGCTGAAGGTCTCTGAGGTGTACCAATAACCTACAGTTAAAACAAAATAATTGGGAATACAGTCAGAAGGCTCCCACATTATCAGATGCATTTCCCCCACCTATCTGGAGCCATTTCTTTATTTCCTCCTATCTCTACAAGAGAAATAAAATACCACCATACTGTGACAAAATCAACTTGCAGTTATACCTGGGCTTGTAAATATTGGCCGTCGTAGACTACTGGCTATTCAGGTGACAAGTTTTTGTTTTTCCTACCTTTAATCAATTTTATTTGCTTTCTTGATTTATAATCAAAATTTGGCATGAACCTGACCAAAAATCAAAGCAAGCCTCAACAATTTAACACTAGTTAGTCAGCAAAATGTAAAAATGAAATAAACTAAGCTTATAATCGAAAATAAAATGGAATTCTAAAGCCAATAACTTCCCTGGTAAGTAGACATAAAAATAGTGCCTACTGCAAAGAACAGACATCTGTTAAGATTCCCTTTCCTTTCAGCTAACATGGAGGGAATTCTGTGCCAAAACATAAAATTTCTGTGCACAATATTTTAAAATTCTGCAAATTTTGTCAAATAAAAATGTGATGGCTCCAGCATAGCAATGGAGAGCACAAGTCACTTGATGTATAACGATGGAGATCACCCTGCAGCCCTCACATCCTGGGAGAGGTACTCAACAATGAGGCTGCACCCAACTCTGACAGTGCAAAGGTTGGGCCTGCCCCCAAAATACCATGCCCCTCTACACCAGGAATATCAGTTGAGGGCAGACAAGCAGGTTCATCCCAGCAGGACCTACCAAGTGTAGTGGGGCAGAAGGTCCAGGAGAAGGAGGTTGGGGCTTAGCAAGGGAAGAGATTGGGCTACAATGGGTTGGTGAATGTGAAGGGGAGGTAGGGAATTTGATGGGTCTGATGAAGGGTGGAACCCACACTCCCTCCACAAAAAACGGCTACCTTTTGTAACTGTTGTTCTTTGAGATATGTTGCTCATCCATTCCATTGTAGGAATGTATAGGTTCATCTCATGCCAGAAGTTTTTCCTTCAGTGGTGAGTGAGTGTACTAGCTTTTGGTGTGAATGAGTTTGCTTGCCTGTTTGAATTTTGATTTCAGGTATGTGGCAGTTGGGATTGTGTGTCTGGGAGTGTTGGAGTCTTTGTTCCCTTGATTGCCTTTGATCAGCCTAATGAATGAGCCTGCTCCTGTGTGGCTAACGAGGGGGTAGACCTGACCTAGGTAAGCATGCTTTAAAAGCCACAGGCAGAGCGACCAGGGGAACAAAGTGGACAGGGGGCTGCAGACTGGGGAGCTTAAGAGGGAGACCTACTATGGTTAGAAAGGGCCGCAACACATCTGCCAGCACTGCTCCTGTTTCCTCCACTTCTACCTATAGCCAGTCAGACCACCTGACTATGAATGCCTCTACCCAGATCCTGCTGTGGTTTTGCAGGGACTGTGGGTTGCAATTCCAAATTACTGAAATCCAGGCTGGGGGGGAACCATCTAATGTGAAAGGTGCCAGGTGGAGATAGCTGAGGCTAAGGTAGCTGTCCCACTAAAAAAGACCACTGATACACCACTGGTGGAGGAGATGGCTTGGGGGGAGGGAGGGACATAGGCAGCTGGTCACTTCAGGCAGCAGGTAGTGCTCCGCCCCTGGTCCCAACCCTCCCACGGTACTGGAAAACTGATATGCTGTTCTGGATACAGGAGACAAGGAATCACTCCTTACAGCAGAAGCCTTGTACCCCCAAAGGCTGGGAGATCTGCTGCCACCACTGTGATGAGGAAATGTAGGGTAGTGGTGGTCAGAGACTTTCTTCTGAGGGGGATGGAGACACCCACCTGTCATCCTGACATGTCATCTCGGGAGGTATGCTGCCTGCCAGGGGTCTGTATCCAAGATGTTACGGAGGCAATGGCAAGGATTATCCAGCCCTCTGACTACTACCCCCGTGCTACTCATCCATGTGCGCACTAATGATACTGTAAGGTGTGACACTGAACAGATCAGGAGTGATTACAGGGTTCTGGGAGCACAGGTGAAGGAGTGTGGACATAGGTGGTATTTTCTTCAGTTCTTCTTGTCAAAGGTAGGGGCCCAGGCAGGGACAGGTGCATGCCTGGCTACTAAGATGGTGTCATCAGGAGGGCTTTGGCTTCCTCCACCACAGGATGTTATTCCACGAAGGACTCTAAGCAGGGATGGGTTTCACCTTTTGAGGAAGGGGAAAACCGTATTTGGATGCAGACTGGCTAACCTAGTGAGGAGGTCTTTAAACTATGTTCGACGGGGGCAGGTGACTAAAGCCTAAAGGTAAGTGAAGAACGTGGGAGACTTGGGAGATGGGTCAGAAATGGGAGAGACCATGGTTTATAATAGCAGAGAAAAAGGAGGGAACAAGGCAGAACTGGGAGGCAAAATCAAATCAGTATTTTAGATGCCTATATACAAATGCAAGAAGTATGGGTAATAAGCAGGAAGAACTTGAAATGCTAACAAACACAAATATGACATTGTTGGTATCACAGAGACTTGGTGGGATAATACACACAATTGGAATATTGGTATAGAAGGGTACAGTTTAATCAGGAAGGATAGGCAGGGTGAACAGGGAGGCGATATTGCCTTATATATTACATGTATACAATGGACTGAGATGGAGATGGATGTAGGATACGGATGTGTTGAGAGTCTCTGGGTTAGGTTAAAAGGGGTAAAAAACAAGAATCATGTCATCCTAGGCGTTTACTGCAGACAATCTACCCAGGCAGAAGAGGTGAATGAGGCTTTTTTTTAAACAATTAACAAAATCATCCAAAGCGCATGATTTGGTGGTGATGGGGGACTTCAACTATCCAGACATAAGTTGGGAAACTAACAGTGGGGCACAGACTACCCAATAAGTTTTTGGACTGCATTGAAGACAATTTTTTATTTCAAGAGGTTGAGAAACCTACTAGGGGGGAAGCTGTTCTAGATTTGATTTTAACAAATAGGGAGGAACTGGTTGAGAATTTGAAAGAGGAAGGCAGCTTGGCTGAAAGTGATCATGAAATCATAAGAGTTCATGATTCTAAGGAATGGTAGAAAGGAAGATAGAAAAATAGAGGCAATGGATTTCAGGAAGGCAGATCTTGGTAAGCACAGAGAACTGGCAGGTAAGGTCCCAGGGGAAGCAAGACTAAGGGGGAAAACAAAAGAAGAAAGTTGGAAGTTTTTTAAAGGTAGATTATTAAGGGCCCAAAAGCAAGCTATTTCGCTGTGTAGGAAAGATAGAAAGTATGGCTAAAAACTGCATTATCTTAACCAGGAGATCTTGTATGACCTAAAAATAGAAAAGGAGTCATATAAAAAGTGGAAACTAGGACAAATTACAAGGGAGGAATATAAGCAAACAATACAGGTATGCAGGGGCAAGATGAGAAAGGCAAAGGCACAAAAAGAGCTCAAACTAGCTACAGACAGAGGGAAACAAGACAACTTTCTATAAATATATTAGAAGCAAGAGGAAGATTGTCAAGGCTGATTGCCCACTCTGGCACGATAAATGCAGAAGTGAGGGCCCACAAAAGTACCCCAAAACCTTATCTATCCAGGCTTTGCTATAAAACTTACCCCCAAAATCCTAAAAACCTAAATTTTGGGGATAAAAATCCGCTGCCACCATCAAAGTGCTTTTGAACCCACAAAGGTTCAAAATCCCAGGGCACCCCAAGCTCTTTTCCCCAAAGAGCTTGAAAAAGAAGAAAGAAAATACAAACTGCAATCTGTGGCTGCTAGCCCCTAGTCAGAAGCATGCAGATCCCACAGACAGATTTTCCAGGACACAGAACTGAACCAATACCAGGTTAATAAAAAAGAAAGAACTTTTATTATCAAAACAATACTCCTCTTACAAGCATAGTTGGACTGGCTAGATGGTAAGAGCCACCAATTAATAAACTCATGGGGAATTTTCCCATGGGAACAAAACTTACTTAGTTACAAAAGAGAGGAAAACCCATTTCTAAATGCAGAGACATCAGATTCCCATTCTCAAATCATAAAACAATAAAACCTAACAGATTTATCTAGACTTTGTCCTACTTACAGTCTTTTCTTGGAGAGGGGCATGTTTTCTGTCCCCCTCAGTATCTGGAGAGTCAACTACTCAGGGACAAAAGAGAGGAAAACCCCAAAATTCTTTTGTCTCAGTTTGAAATCCCTATCTAAATTTTTATTGGCTGACTGCTACCTGGATAGGTACAGTTAACCCATTATTCCCCAGGCTGCTGGCCATCCCTCATGACCATGACAAAGACCAAGACACAGTAGTCACACTGCTCAGTGAGGAGAAATAATACGGAGAAAAGTTGAAAATGGCAAACGTGCTTAATGACTTCTTTGTTTCGATCTTCAACAAGAAGTCTGATGATGAAGAAATGTCTAACATGGTGAATGCTAGTGGGAAGGGGGTAGGTATTGAAGATAAAATTTAAAAAAAAAAGAACAAATTATGTAGAAAGGTTAGGTATCTACAAGTCTCCAGGGCCTGATAAAGTCACCAGAGCTGATAGAGGAGGTATCTGCGCCTTTAGCTATCATCTTTGAATAATCATGGAAGACTGAAGAGATTCCAGAAGACTGGAAAAAGGCAAATATAGTGCCCATCTATAAAAGGGGAAATAAGAATAACCCAGGAAACTATAGACAAGTAAATTTAACTTCTGTGCCAGGGAAGATAATGGAGCAAGTAATTAAGGAATTCATCTCCAATCACCTGGAAGATAATAAGGTGACAGGTAACAACCATCATAGATTTGTAAAGAACAAATCAAGTGAAACTAATCTGATAACTTTGTTAGGATAACAAGTCTGGCGGATAGGGGAGAAGTGGTGGAATTGGTATACCTAGACTTTAGTAAGGCATCTGACACAGTCTCACATGAACTTCTTATCAATAAACTAAGCAAATACAATTTAGATGGGGCTATTATAAGGTGGGCACAAAACTGGCCAGATAACTGTTCTCAGAGTAGTTA